ACTCGTTCGGGCGCGTCGCGATTGTAACTTAGTTTTTCTTTGCTCGCGTTTTTTATATTTGATGCCCCAAAGTTTTGGGAACTTAGAAATATTAGAGTCTGTTGAAATGTAGTTTATTAACGTTGCGTTAGTAGAGTATAAATTTTAGTATACCGATCCGAAATCCTTTTTGAAAGATACGAAATATAATAAAGTGTCAGTAGCTTCACTTTAGCATCTTTCGCTCCAAGTTAGATTAGGGTATCTTTGATACAGATAGCGCCAGCAGGCTGCGCCACGTATGTCGGGTCTCGATGCGTAGCCACCTCCACGTGGTGATACCTGGTAATTGGTATCGTTTCCCAAACAATAATCTTTGGGATACGATACCAAGCTAAGAGCTACGGACAAATTTTAAGATATGTCTTATCTCTTGTAAATTTTCAATGTTTTCTTTGAACTTTGAAAATAATGAGTAGGCTATATCACTAATAATTAACTGATTAGGTACTAATTTATATCCAAAATAGAGGAAAATTTATATACAAGTTATATTGGAAAGGTCTTGAGGTATCTGCCTTTACGGCCCAGTTATAAAAGTTCATAGCTTAAGCACAGAAATTGAGTAATTTGTTGATTTTTCTCTAAGTGATGAGCAAAAATTTTCAAAAAAACGCGGGAAGCATTGTTATGCTCATAGAAGTATGCCTGCACCGTGCAAAAGAATATACGGCTTTGTATTAACATAACTTTCGGTTGTAATTAAATAGCGTGAGATATAACCCATTGTTTTTCTACCTTTTATTAGTGATAGCTGAGCTTGGTTGTAAAAATATTTTTATTGCAATAACATATTCTTTTGAAATAAACAGCCACGTGCGAGAGGACAAAAGATTTGGACTAGTGGAAAATCAGCAGTGTAGAGCCATTAGATGGGAAGAATTATTTTTTATTAAATCTAATCTCTTACATAAAGAAATGTATTTGACCAGTAATAATGTGGTATATTTCAGAATGATGTAGATGAAGTATGCAAAGAAAAGAGAGAGGTTCTAATGAATGCAGTGAGAAGAGGAAATGTATATTATGTCGAATCAAAAAACAAGGGAAGCAGCATGTGTATCAAGAGATAAAGATGTTTGGCATCGACATGCAAATATGAGGATCATTGTAGAGATGGAGAATGAAGACTTGGCAATAGTTATGAAAGGTAAAGATATATTGAGTATAGAGTGTATGTGTTTCATTATGACAAAAATGTGTAGAAATATCTATAGGAATTTGGAGACTTTAAAAGCCATAGTAGTAGGGGGTCTGTCTATAAAACCAGTGTTAAAATGAGGAAAAAGTCTTCACTGCTGATAATAATTCAAGAAATATCCATTTGATTAACTGATATATAAATGACCAATGATTTAATATGAAATATTATTTATGAGGAATTTGTTTTATTAAAGAAGACTGATAAACATGCGTATTTTTTAAATACATTTTTGTTATTGTTTCGTGAATCAATGTATTTATATTATTGCTTCTACTGTATAATGAAACTAGAATAGATGACAAATGAATATGTTGAAAAGTTTTTCCTTCAAATCAATTTGTTTAAGAGTTATAAGCACTTGTACCACACAACCATGGTGTGCCAATACTTCTGTCCAGCACTGTATATGTACAAGAGCCATATACTATGGGTATAGTAAGTGTTAGTTAATAATATTCCAATGTAATGTATATCTGTTTTTAAAAATCTAGACTTCTATAATAATATATCAAATACTTTCTAATTTGAATTACAATAATAAACAATAAATTTTAATAAATTTGAGTTTATAAGTATTTTACATTAATAAAACTAATGTATTTCTTATAACTAGGTTGTAATGAAGACAACTGTTGGTGATATTGAGTTAGAATTATGAGCAAAAGAAACTCCAAAGGCATGTAGAAATTTCATACAATTATGTATTTATTATTTTGTAATAGATATATACTTGCATAAGCAAGCGTAAAAAATAAATTTTATTATTAAGAAATTTTATTTACAATTGTTTATTTACAATGTTTTCATAGACGAAAAATGAACACAAAATAAAAATCGATTGAAAAAACTGCCAATCATGGACGGGAATCGAACCTCGGTCCTTCAGCACAGAAATTCTCCGCTTTTCTTTTTTTTTTAAATACGTTTATTGTGTCAGGAAATGTTTAAAAAAGTTATGGAAATAAAAAGAAATTCTCCGCTGTTGCCGACAGGCCACTACTTCACTTGCAAACTGGTAGAAATAAATCCATAATTATGTCAGTAATAAAACTTTAATCGCAAATATCTCAAAAATTATTGACTAGTTGCCGTTATAATAATATGGTTTCATAACCTGCAAAGTTTCAACTAAATCGGTGATCCGAAAGACTTGCATTCTCCTTGTTAGCCAAAGTTAAGTGCACGCGCACTCGGTGAATATTCAAGGTTGATTTTCTCGAAAACGAAATTTCGCGAAGTTGCTCGAGAGTACTCTCGAGAGCTTACTATCGCGAGAAACTCTCAAGTGGATACGTAGCTTTACATAAATATCACGATTTTATCGGCTACATTAGGTATTCTGATAAATATACTCGCTTGGAATATCTAAATGTAACGTTATTTATCAAATGGGTATTATCTTATCACCTTCATTTGTGCTTTATCTATCTTTAATGAATCGAATCGTACGATCGTAAATTATTTTTGAAATATTATCGAGGTTACTGGTTGGAATATTTAATATTCGTTAAACGTGTAGAAGAGAATTAGTCAATGCATTTATCCTTTGTTACATAACTGTTTAGTCATCTATAGATGTTTATCTATGTACATTGGATAAACTCCAGATTGGCTAACTTTTCCTTTTTATCTCTATTGCTCATTCTAACCTCAACCTTTCCTGCATCATCCTTTCTTAACCTTCAACCTGTGGACAATCCCCATTTACTTACTCCCTACAGTAATTCTGATATAAATATTGCCAATTATCCCAAAATGAGACATTCTTGTGCTAGTAGTCAAGTTGGAGCGTCACTGTTAAAAGATCTAGTATTGTGCGTTCGGGAAAAGAAAGCACAGCGTGTTTACATCCTCACGGCTGATTGACTTCGATGACTCTCTCTTGATCACAAACAGTAGCCGCTATTGACCGAAAACGGTGACCAATGATCTTCGTTACCATCATCAGCCAATAGCGGTGACTGCCTGTGATCATGAGAATAAACACGTTGTGCCTTCTTTTCTCGAACGCGCTATACGTACTTGGCGTTCCTCCCAAAGTTCTCACGTAAGTTTGCAACGAAAATAAAGATTTGCTTGGACTAAATATAATACTTGGAACAAATATGAAATAGCCTAACACTTTTCAGCTATTTATTTCTCACCGCTATTTACGTAAAAATAAAACTATATAAACAGGGCATTGAAGATACTATGGTCGTGTAGAATTTCATTCTTTATTTACAAATATCTGATAATCATCAATGTACTCGGTAACAAAATTGCATTGCACATATACAGAATGATCGTTCAGCGCTAAGACGACAAATCAACAATCTCGTCGTAAGAGAGAGAAAACAATACCGATTCGACTTGCAGTACGATCGTGAATCGTGTTATTAAATCAATGCAACGTACTCAGTCGCAAAGTTTCACACGTGACACAGCATCTTTATATAATACGTGTAAGCATAATTTGAACGTTATGCCTAGAAAGGAAACGGAACATGTCAACGAAAATAGGGGCTATCACCTATATGAGTTAACGAACATATAACACATAGCAAGTCTGACTTGTTGAGCTAGGCCGAACATTTTGGAACTCAGTCACGATTGTGGCGCGTGTAGCTACAAACGCCTTAGACAGCTTATGTGAATCTATAGTACGTTAAAATAACAATTGCTGTACAACGATAAAGTATCGAGAAACTTTCCACGTGTAATGTTCCAGTTAGTTCGGTACACTACTTTCGTATTTCGTAGGTCGCTCCGTTCGATTTACATATGCATAGGCACTATTCATCGTCAAAAAAGCATTCCGATGATGATTCAGTGATGATCCAGAAAAGACTGCGTGACAGTTGGTTTACGTTACTTTTTGGGCGCGCGGATTTTTGTGTGGCTGTCGGTGATCACAGGCGTCAATCGCTTAACGTTAACAGATCTCCAAGGAGAAAACGGATGGCGAACTGACATGTCCTATTGATGTAAACATAGCCTGTATCGCGTGACTCAAGTCCGTCTTGTTCGGCGGATGCAATAAGGACGTATACATATTAAAAATAAATAGGGTCACATTGATGCGACTCTTTCCTTGATATCAAAAGTTCGTGCAGGTATGAAAAATTAATCACCGTGAAACGTTTATCGTAACGTGACATTTTCTTCCTTTTCTCTTCATTACGTTCCGCACTTCTCTCCCTTTCATTTCCCTATTTCATGGAATGGCTGTTTAGATAAAATACATTCTCGTAAAACGAAGGAAACTTTGCAATGATTTCTCATACGAAACTCTCTTTGACATATGCACGAACTCATGGAGAATTTCGAAGGGACAGGTTTCAAAGGACACCAAAAAACACGATTACATAACCTAATCGATACCGGTCGGTAACATAGTTCTCTGACGTGTGCGTCGTTTCTTTTACCATCGGATGTTAATCCCCTACGAGGTTAGAATTTCCGTAGAGAGTTTCGCTGTTTATTCCATGCGTTTATGTCTCGTGTTTCGCGGTGCGAATGCAACGGTGTAACTCGTCAACCAAAAACCGACTCGTCGCTGATGATACATCATGTAGGTATGTGCTATCTACTACTGGTGGCGTTAGATAATTCAACATACAACGTTGTCTAGAAACCAAACCAACCGTACAATCTAGCGGCTTTATATACCGACGATTACTGTCAATACGTGGCATAAATATTTGTATATTTATCGCTAAGTCGTGAGTACGGGGCGGCCTGATCAATAACTGTAAACATTGTCGAAAAAAGGGATCAATTCTAAAAGTCAAGACGAACGATATAAATTTCATTCGTGGATAGTTCGCTCGGTATTCTGGCATATTAAAACAGCTCGTATGTATATGTCTGCAAAAAATAGGGTTACAGCCAGTATAAGACGCGTCGTTTTGTAAGAAACCAGAGGTGTTCCAGGTGCGCCATCTCTCTTGCGAATCTGTTAACAAGCGTTTGCACGATTTCGAGATCCCAGTGTCGCGTTAATAAATGCGTGTTACCGCTAGTGGTCTCCCCGTGTATATGCTATACGGCAACATAGGTTAGAATCGCGTTCTTACACAGCTTGTCCTCGTTCACGACCGTTTCAGGCGCCCCACTCTCGAAATTTCTTGACTCGACGAAAAAATAACTATCCCTTAAGTGCTTCTCGCGTAGGCCTGAAATCGATTATTTTTTTTTTTTCTCCATCATCCTTCTCTTTTTTTTTTCTTTTTTCTTTTGTTCACGTTACTTACAATTAGGCGAATGAAATACAACGACCATGGATTAAGTACAGACGACAGTTAGTTTGATGCGTACACACACTGGCATACAGACGAATACTTTTTTCCCTCTTGCACCATCTGGCTACGTTCATTTTACGTTCTTCCTCTTCGCTTTGTCCCTCTTCGTCTGCCCTGTCTCGACGAGAACGAACACAGGCCGGACGTTAAACGTTATATCATTTAGCGTTATCCTTAATTCATCATTTTTTTTCCTTTTTCTCGTTTTCCATTTTATAATACGCCTTAAGAAACATTTAATCGAACAACATGAAACGCTCGCGTGGTTATGCGAGTCCGTCAATATATATGTATATAAAATTCGAATACACTCGGCGGACCGCAAAAATGAACGAGGTGAACTTTCAACAGCATTACTAGACTCCAACGTGTCGCATAAACTATACAAAAATGAGCGCTCGAAGTTGGGAGAAACGAAATATTTTGGACGGTACGACGAAGAAGCATTTCAACAAAATCTTTTTTTTTTCCTTTTTCACACGGTTCCATTGCCACAAAATCTTTGTGTTCCGCTCAAATTCAAATCGCTCTCAACTGTTCACTCGCTAAAAAGTGATTCTGCGAACTGACGTATCGTGTTACGTTAGCTTGAAGGCGTTGATTCGAGAGGCTCTCGTGTAAGGCCTCCTGGAGGTTCTACGTTCTCTTCGCTCCCTTCTGCTTTTTTTTTTCCTTTTTTTGTGGTTTCTTTTTGCGTATTTTTATCGCGCTACACGCAAGGCCATGTGCTTTCTTCGACTCGGAGATTTCGGTACAAAAATCTCTGGTATCGTTGCGACGCACAGTGGGCAAACGCACCGAAAATTCGAACAAAATTGCTTTAAAATGCGCAGAATCTCAACCTGTCATTACTCGGTTAGCTTTCGTTCATATTTAACGAAAGAAAATCTGATGGAAGACCGGAAACTCATCCTCTTTGTCTTTTATTTCGCGATGAAACGCTGAATAAAATTAGAGAAAAATGTATAGGAACACGAACAAAAATTTCCTTTGAATATTTCCTTTTCTAACCTTCTGTAAACAACGAATGCGAATGTTCGGGTGCATTAGATGAAATGTTGCAGTATTCTCTATTTACATATGCTGTTGCATTAACTATACAATTTTTATTCAAACAAAACCGGAATAAATTCTCTAGCATTGAAATCTTCGATATTTACACAATAAAATGGAGCAAAGATTATCACCAGATCTCACTAGATACTAAAGCAAAATCAATGATGAAATTTTAAATTCAAGGAAACTTATTTCTAAATCGTGCATTATCTTTGTATATTAATAACAATATAAGTATGTGCGATAGAAAAGTAAAATCTGTGGGAAAATATTGCATGTACCTAGCTGAGAGTCTTCTCAATTGTAAGTTACACGTTACTTATTAAATAATTAATAAACAAATGATCTTTCAGAATGGGCGAAGTAAGAAATGCATACAATAAAATCTTTTAACTTCAGTCGATCAACAAATGCATATGAGTGCATAAATGCAAAAAGTAATATTAGTAAGTATATTATTCCCGGTGTATTTAATTACCTTGAAACGAAAAAGGTAACAAAATTTTGGAATCAAGTTTTGCTCGAGTTTTCGGTGCGTTTGTCTCACTGCGAGACGACTGGCTGAACTCTTGCTTGTTCACGTAGTGATTTATTCTAGCCCGTCACTTGTATTAATAATCGAAAGACATGTGGCTCTATTACGTGTTCGAAAGCTGTATTTAAAAGTGTTTTTCATTTTTCCCTCGTTTTCTATGTGTAGCGTATTGTTACAGTTTTAGCTTCCCTAACACTTGCTAGTTTTCTTCTTTTCTTCTTTTATTTTAATTTGGACGAATAATTTATGTAAATTACAGCATACGTTTCGGATAGCATTCTTGGTATTCGCTTTCCCAATTTCACATAAACCTGAAAAACAGATTTAACGATGAGTAAGCAATGAAATAAAAAATTAGAATCTCCTATTTTTGATAAATATTTAAACATTTATAAGAACCTTCAATCGTATTTAAATTTCTTCAAAATCTAGCATTTCCAAAATTTGTTGTAGTATAAATAGTGACAGCAATTTATAGTAATTAATTTAAATTACAGAACTACAGTTAAATTTTCTGCAAAACATTTTTTAATTCTTTTATCTTTGATTTTGAGTTTCTTTGGTTTATGTAACTTTGAATTCTATTTTTGATAAATATTTAAACATTTATAAGAACCTTCAATCGTATTTAAATTTCTTCAAAATCTAGCATTTCCAAAATTTGTTGTAGTATAAATAGTGACAGCAATTTATAGTAATTAATTTAAATTACAGAACTACAATTAAATTTTCTGTGAAACATTTTTTAATTCTTTTATCTTTGATTTTGAGTTTCTTTGGTTTATGCAATAGTTTATCTCGTTAGTTTAGAAAACTTTGGTGTAGATAACGAAAGTATCTACAGAATAAATATTCTAATAAAATACGTATAAACGAAAAATATAAATATAACAACGATGCTAAAGTTTTCAGTATATCTGTAGAAGAATAATATCGCTATATCAATCCAGCAATTATACAATTTTTGGAAGTAATATTTGAGGTGTTGAAATATTTTCTTTCTCTCTTGATATTGACAAGAGATTTTGATACGATTTCTTCGACTGTAAAGTCACGAAGAGACGACGTAAGTTAAGTGTCACTTAGCAGCCAACTCGAACAGAAAATTCAATTCATTAAAGAAGAAACGTAGAAACAGGAGAATCGTATCATTTCCACGTCTCAAAGACACATTTAATCCTTGCAAGGGGAAAAACGAGTGAATCGGTTAAATTAAATAAGCTACCGTGAAACTGCTTCACTAATTAAATGCCAAGATAATTGCCATACTTGTACCAAATGAAGTACCAGCGACTAACGATTACTTGAGCCGTTGTGTAACATTGGCCAAGGCAACGGCAAATGCTTGTAAAGCGCTGAATGGATACTGAAAGTCCAATGTGTAGGCGTTCCCATCTATCCTCCCAAATTGCATGACCTGGCACAACATTGAAACACCGGGTTATTTGACGGAGTGGAACGTAATAATGGATTGAGTGGAAGTGGTCTATTCTCATACCTGACGGCCTTTGAATTCTATTTGGAAGTTTTTAGCGCTTTCCTGAGTTACTCTGCCACCGAAGTCGAGCTGGTATACTTGGCCAGATTCGTTCCACACTGGCGCCTTGTTGTGCATCACGAGTTCCCGTCTTACTGCTTCTGATTTATGGCCAGACATCCCTGCTGCTTTCTGCTTTAGCTGCACAATTATTGGAAATTGAAAATGTAACGAGGATGTGAAATTGAAAATATACCAATCGAAAAGTAATTGACATTATAATAGAGAAAATGGAAAAGTAATTGAAAACACGATAAAGAAAATGGAAATATAGTAGAGGATGTAATAAAGAAAATTGAAAAATAATTGAAAACATAATAAAGAAACTGGAAATGTAGTAGAGGCTGTAATAAAGAAAATTGAAAAGTAACTGAAATTGTAATAGAGAAAATTGAATAATAATTGAAAACATAATAAAGAAAATGGAAATGTAGTAGAGGGTGTAATAAAGAAAATTGAAAAGTAACTGAAATTGTAATAGAGAGAATTGAAAAGTAATTGGAAACATAATGAAGAAAATGCAAAAGTAGTAGAGGGTGTAATAAAGAAAATTGGAAAGTAACTGAAATTGTAATAGAGAAAATTAAAAAATAATTGAAAACATAATAAAAAAAAATGGAAATGTAGTAGAGGGTGTAATAAAGAAAATTGAAAAGTAAATGGAAACACAATGAAGAAAATGTAAAAGTAGTAAAGGGTGTAATAAAAAAAATCAAAAAGTAACTGAAATTATAATAGAGAAAATGAAAACATAATGGAGGGTATAATAAGGAAAATGAAAAATAATTGTAAATATAATAAAGAAAAATGAAAAATAATTGAAAACATAATAAAGAAAATTAAAAAATAAGTGAAATTGTAATAAAGAGGATTGAAAAGTATTCCTATAATACATATATATAATATAATACTTACAGGAAAAATTAAGCATCGTATAAAAATATTTAAAAAATTCTCTTTTGTAACAATAAAAATAGCCACTTGCTGATTAATCAAGGATTTTATACTAAAAAAAAAAAATTAATATACATTTATATTTGCAATCAAACAAATAAATAAACAAACTACAAAAACCACGTTAGCTCATATTAAGCAAGAACAGTAAAATTATTTTACAGTACATTCAATATCGTGTACATTTTATTTCATTAATTACGTTAATCTAATATAACTGGAATACTTTACTCTAATCAGATATTCATATAAAAATATTTAATAAGAAATGACCAATTCTCATTTGATGTTAATTAGAAAAGTATTCGTTTTATGAAAATTGAGACGAACCTTCTGTATAAATAAATTAATTATATTCCCTTTACCAACCTTTTGTCGTAACTGTGCCTTTTGGAACGTCTCGAGGTCTCTATAATTCGTCGACGAATCGTCTTGCAAATGTCCTTCCTCGTCTGAACTTTCGCCTCGGCTTTTTCGCGTTTTTCTACTTAATAAAGGACTCGATAGGAGCCTTCTCCTAATTGGCGAGGCAGATGCTGGCCTTTTACCTTTCTTCGAAGGTGCTGGACTACTGGGAGAACTTCTGGGCAATCTAAAGAAAATGTTAATTGTCGATGAAGGGTCGTTTTATCGAGTAAATTATGCGAGTCGATTAATGCATTTTACCTGGTGGATGGACGAGGTGACGGTGGTGGCAAAGAGTGACTTTCATCGAAATCTCGAAGTCGAGCTGCGAGACCATCCAAAGATGATGCCAATGAACCACTTGGACTAGATCCTCTGAAATAGTAATATACATTGCCACAATAAAATAGAGCAAAGAATATTAACAAAGCCAAAAATGTATATTTTTGAACAATTTTTTAAATTAAATATATTTTTATACTACTCGAACATATTCAATTTGAATCAATTAATCAATTACGCTATTTTGAATAAATTAAAAATGTAGAATATCATTGTATGAAATTACGACAGAATAACGTGAAATGGTTGACGAACAAACGAGACAAAATTCTTTGAAATAATACATATTATAGGAAAATAGTGTAAAAAGTATGATGAAAGAATATTGATCAAATTATAAAATATCCATTCCTTTAACAAGATGTTTTAAAATAAAATTGTCGAAAATAATAATATATTTAAAATTTTCTCTTCTTGAACAATCCCTATATAAAATTAGAATCTTTATTTTATTCCTGAATTTTACATATATCTTACCCATAACAGTAATTAATTACATGAATTTAAGTATACAGATTCAGTCTAATCTACACGTATATGTATTCAAAAAAGTATTTATTATTATAAATATTAAAATATTGAATGCAAAAATTAATGATGCAAAAGTTATTTACATTTACGATATAAAAATTCATGTTTCTATCAAGTATATAAAAATAAATATAAAAAGAAATATTGTATATAAAAAATATCGAATAGGTACATTGAAAAGAAAATAAAAATTGCAAAAATAATACGCTATTTAACATTTTACTTTGTAAGTAAATTTTTACAAAACATCAAGATTCGATCCAAGCAAAATTTTGAAACGATCAGTGTCATCGAAGTTATTCGCTTTACCTGGCAGGTGAATTACAGCTCTTCAATCTGCTCGGCTTAACTTCAACAGGATTAGTTACGATTGGCGTAGTAACGTGCTTGGCACTCTCACTGGGCACCTCTATCGCTTCGGGTGATTTCTCCAAGGACTCGTTACTTTTATCTTCGATGACTTCAAGATTCGAAACTCCCGCCGCTTCTTCGGCGTGTTCAGGCAGCTTGGGTGGTAGAGCTATTTGATCGTTAGCCGGGAATATATCACTAGAATCCAAGCTCTTAGACTTGCCACAGTTACGAAGCCTCAGCGACTTGGAGGTCTGCTGACCGATCTCTTGCTGAGCCTTGCTCTTTTTCCTCCTCTTAGTCTTCCTCGATACCAGGACCAGTCTCTTGTTAGGCGCCTCCTTCCTCAGCATCTTCAAGGCGATGTCGCAAGGGACCAGTTGCGCGTCCACCATGTCCAAGTACCCGACACTGCAACTTCTCACGATGGAGTCGTTCACGCAAAGAGGGCCGATACTGACAACCGTCTGAGTCCTATGGACTCCTCTCGACTGGTCAAACGCCTCCGCCTCGCCACGTGTCTCGTCATCGATGAAACGCATCTCCTCGACACGACCAGTCGTGGAACTACAACTGCTCGACTGAGCTGCACTCGTCTTCCCGCAGGATTCGTGGTGCTTGGGATCCTTGAGCTTCGTGGTGCAGGCGGTGCAAGATTGCCCTATGCACTGATCGATGTTCTCCGGGAACTGATAAGAACAGGCTGGCGAATGATTACTGGACAGGTGTATGCTGTTCTTGCTGAAGGGGCCGTTGCTCCCAAGCTCACCTCTCAGACTCGTCGAGGTCGTTTGGCTAACGTTCACAGTGTTATTGGCGTTGTGATTGTTTTTACCCTGAATTCCGTTCACGTTGCTTGAGCACGCCATGGTGTGCAGGCCGTTGAGAAATATCGTTTGAGACTGTGGGCTACTACTCGTGTTCAGACCGTTCACGATGGATCCCTGAGTGCAACCGTGGCTGCTGGACGCCTCCGTGTTAGGGGTCTGGCCGTTGTGCATGGACATGGGGATGATGGTAGAGGGACAGGAGGACAGGACTGTCTTGTCATCCTGGGATATCTGATTGAACTTCTTATTCTCGAGTTCCTTCTTGGTCACCAAGCCAGGCTGATCCGCAAGGGCGGTTTTCATCCTCTGGATGTTATTGGAATAGTCGGTTCCCGTGTTGGAAGTCGCGATTATAGTCTGAGTGGGAGCCACGGCATTCTTAGGCGACTGTAGAGCTGGCACGTCGCAACATCTTGGCGGATTGTGTCTAGGTGGCGTTCTGTACGTGTTTGTTGGGGCAGTTCTCAAGTTCTCGTACAGATTCCCGACCTCTTGCAGGTCTACATAGGGCAGCTCGCTCTCGAAGTTCTCGACTCTGGACATAGCGCTGGGTAAGGCTTCGTTCGTCATGAACTGATTAGAAATTTGCGATTTCGGACGATTGGAGTTGAGTCTCGCGTTACGGGGCGTCATAGGGGCTATGGGTGGGGGCTGTGACTCTGGCGTGCTTCTCGAGGCAGCTTGGAATTCCTGGAACGATTCCTCCTCGTCCTCGGAGAACAAGTTCGGGTTGAAGGTCGGATCTGGACCTACGGGAAGTCGAATACAGGGTCAGCGATCTCTAGCATGCTCGTGGTCACGGGATACATACCTGCAGGCACGTCGTCGCGTAGCTCAGTCATCACCAGAGTCATTTGTCGCGGCTGCAAGTGCAGCAACGACGTCCGATAAGTAATCTGACCTAAGTTGGCGGGCACCGAATCAGCCAGCCCGTGAAACTTGAATTTCGTGCCCCAGATATTGGACGTTACTTCGACCAGTCTCGCGTGCTGCAAACAGATACGTCTTGCGACACTGTGGGTCACGCGACTGACTTTGCAATACCTTAAGGCTCAAAGGGCTCGTTAAACTTTGCTACATCACGCAATTTCTTATTGGTAGGGTTTTAAAAGCGCCGCGGGATCTTAAATCGTCCCCGTGACGTTCTCAGAGAGATCGTCTTTATAGGAAATTCGAGGGAGTATAGTATCGTACGATTAGGTTATATTTTACCTCGGGTAAGGTATCGACGTAAGTGAGGTCGTCGGTCTCCTCGTTCGATTTTTCTTCCCTTTTCCGCCTGTTTTTCCTTTTGTTCCTGGGCGACCCGCACAGGTCGGCAGTGTCCCTCTCGGTATCGGACCCATCGCTGAAGGATGGACACTGTGACGTGTCTTCCACGACCTGCAGGGTGTCTTGACTCTGCGGATCGAATATCACGAATTCCGGCCTGATTTTACTCGTTCTTCTGCCTTTCAGCAGAGGCACTAGACCACCCAGGTATTCCAGGTACAGCGTGTAACATGGTACCGGTTCCACGGCGTGTCTGAGCATCGTGCAGTGCAATCTTCCGCCCCCTGGTGGTGGACGTGACACGAAGCGCCTTAGTTCCTTTGGTTCTGGTACGGAACATCTAGAAACGCGATGTGATGTGTTATTTGCTTTGTTCTTGGACAAGAATTAGTGATCCTAAGATATGTCTGTTGTAAATATATCGCTGCATCAAAATTATTTGATAAATAATTTAAGAGGAAAATACAATTATAAATTTTGAAGCTTTTGTGCTTTATCAAGCATTTGATACTAGGATTATCAGAGGATCCAAAATGATTATTGATAATTTATTATTATTGTAACAGGTTAATAATACGAATTATTTGCATCTAAATTAATTTATTACTATTGTAACATATTATTTATTATTATTGTAAATTACGATAATTTAATTTATTATTATTGTAACATGTTAATAATACGAATTATTTGCATTGACGATATCACTATATAAATTAAAATTAATTTTAAATGAAATTATAAAATTAAAAAAATAATATAAAATAATATAGAATTATAATGAAATTAATTTATTACTATTGTAACATATTATTTATTATTATTGTAAATTACGATAATTTAATTTATTATTATTGTAACATGTTAATAATACGAATTATTTGCATTGACGATATCACTATATAAATTAAAATTAATTTTAAATGAAATTATAAAATTAAAAAAATAATATAAAATAATATAGAATTATAATGAAATTAATTTATTACTATTGTAACATATTATTTATTATTATTGTAAATTACGATAATTTAATTTATTATTATTGTAACATGTTAATAATACGAATTATTTGCATTGACGATATCACTATATAAATTAAAATTAATTTTAAATGAAATTATAAAATTAAAAAAATAATATAAAATTAGAATAAAATTAATCGAAAAGATAGGTACATCTGCTTGCTTAATTTATTAATTAGGCATATCTTTTCGTGTACGAATAAGGAATTTAATATGAATATTTACAGGAAGTAACTGAGTTTCAAACGTAAGAAATCTGGAAAAGGATCAAGTATACTTGGGCTCAGGGAAGAGAAAGCGAAAGAGAAGTGTATAGCCAGCCAAGTTTTTCAGGAGACGTGACTAAGTGTCTGCGTAGTTTACCTGGATCGAGTGAGAAAAAATGTAGAACAGAGGAAGATAGAAAATGCGGATGGGAGTGCAGTAGAACTCCATTTATTCGATTGAAATTTAGCGTGCAATAGAATCCACTTATGTCAACGTGGATTACTCTTACATATGAAGTCTACTTATATAAACTGTTTATTTCTCCTCATCTTCAGATAAAAAGAGTTCTACTCTATGTATTACATGGAAAATGTATTTAATAATTAGTCGTATATGGAAACGAAAATCTTTTTTAAAATTATTTTTATACAATTATATTTTTGAAAAAGTTAAACCTTAGAAGAATAATAAAATAAAGTAAAAATAAGGTAAAATTCTATAAAAATCTGTTTACAAAATTCCTATTTGTAATAATTACATAGTGGATCATTCTGTCAGGTATAGTGACACGCGAAACTGAATAGACAACAAAAATTGACAAAAAGAATATTGTATAAGTATAAGATGATTAAAATCATCGTTGTCAATTACTTTCTTGTGATCGCAGCACGTACAAAAGGTTTCAAAATTATTAAACTATGTTCTTCCTTGCTTGCAATAATAAAAATTGATAAATCACAATTTCGTATTTTTACAAAATAAAATTTGATTCGAATGAAACTTCGTGGGTTCATATAACAGACAAATACAATAATCCAAATATATCATTTTAGCTACAATAATTTGAGTTTAAGAAAAAAAATCCTGCTGCAAAAATTGTATCTCAAAATGCCAACTCAAAAATAATTAAAATAGAAAGATTCACCAAAAATGGATCGATTTTTGATATATTAAAAGAAAATATTTTATTTTCCGTGAAATTTTCACTCCTTTCCAAATTAATATTTCATCCCCTGAACTGAAATTAAAGCAGCTCAAAAAATACGTATGTATCAACTTTGCCAGCTGTTTAATCCCACAATTTTTATTGGAATCGAATCTTCTTGAAAAAAGAAAAGATAAAATTGTTCCAGGAATTTTTATTATTACACCCAGAGAGAAATACATTCTAACCCTTTGTACTCGAGAGAGGGTCTTCAGTCGCCATTTGATAAAATTTCAAAAATCGATAGTCATTAATATGTCAAATTTAAGATAATGTAACGGTGTGCGAGATATCGAAGTCAAATAATTCTATGCGTTAATTATTATTCGAATTCTTATTTACTACTTCAAAAAATATCGTCAGCTTCATAGCAGAAAATCTTTGAACTCCTGCTCTTCTATTTATTTAAAAATTTACCAAATTTTTCTAGTTTATTCAATTTTTCTCGTGTATCGTACATCAGGAATTTTTATTATTACACCCAGAGAGAAATACATTCTAATAATTTGAACAGCTGGTTCCATTCCCTGCGACATTAGACAAGGAATTCTTTATCTCATCTTGATGTTAAAGTTTAAAAAATTTTTCTAGTTTATTCAGTTTTTCTCGTGCATCATAAAAGATCACGTATCTCTCACCTTATCGTACTAGCGAACAGCGCAGCCACAGACGCCCTCAACCTCGGTGGCAGTGGCAGCTGCTGGACACTGGACTCTTTTGTCAGAAACGCTCTCACAGTCAAACGAGACAACAATTGCAGCGAACCTACTCGTCTGTAGGACGTATGCATCGTGCATCAAAGAGTTTAGTATGAACCAGAATCGACCACAGTAAAGTATATCCTGAGAAAGAGAGAACTCGCATTACCTAGACACCCAAGCCGCGTGAACTCGAGCCCCAGTCGCCACGAACAGCCTCCTGTCGTTGTGGCCCCAGGTCAACGCCGATACAGGACACTAATGTGGATAACGAAGACTTTTAAAATCACTATAGTCACTGTTCCGTCGTGGAACAAGGAAGACACCGTTACGGTCTTCCAACAGCCAGGTCTTTAGGGCCAAAACAATTCGGCATCGGAATTTTCCTATCCATGCCTTCTGCATGTCTGAAAATTTTCTCTTTTATTATGACTTCTCGTGTCGCGGAACACGAGAATCCGTGAAAACCCTAATTTAACGAAATTAGGCGACGGCGCTTAAGACTTGGCTGACAATAGGCCTGAGGGCTCCACGTGGTCCGCACACGTTGGGATCCTCAGGCCCTAGCGAGGGGCCATAAACGGCGGATGGGGTCACCAGCGCGCGAGTGGACCCCGTGTACCTCAACTTGAAGGAGAGGGTTCCCTCTACCACCGTCTTCATCTGGGAGGACCTTCCCTTCCTTCAAGGTGACCGATTTGCGGAGCAAGGGAACGCCCTTGGTCCAAGTAGCCAATAATATTTGGCGAGCTCCCGATTTTTCCTAAGACCGATCTTAGGAATATCGAGGAGACACTTCGAAACGAGACCTCAAGGAGAACAGTTCGAGCCTATCAATCGAGACCTCCAAGAGAGCAGTTCCACGAAAACGTAAAGTCAAATTCGATTAGTCTCGTTGTACCAGAGTCTAGCGTTGGACTCGCTATCACTAAAATCGTTATAGTCGCTAAAATCACTATAGTCTCGATTAGATAAGTCAACTGGCCTTCCAGAAAGATACGTACCTGCGTGTACGGTATCGCAGCGGTGTACACGAGGGTGCCTGTGACTGAATAGAACTTCAGAAGGTTCGTGTACTCGTGAGGGTTGCTCTGAGCGTTGTCCGATTCCTTCGTCCCGGCGATCGCCAACAGCTTCCTCGAATTGCTCCATTCTGCGTGCAGTGGCGCCTTCAGGTTCGTGCGAATCGTGATGGGCGAGACGTCGTCGAAGGAACGCAGTATGATGATGTTCCCATCAGCCAGGCAGACGGCTAGCACGTAGTTCCGATCGTCTGAAAATACGCCACGGTTGCTTCTAGGTCAGTGGCTCTCGTCATCTTTATCCCACGGCACCCATAAACTAGTTACTAGGATTTTGTAGCACACTATAGGATGTACTTGTATTCTTAACAATATGATGAAAGCATGGGATAGGATCTTAAACACCTTCGTACATTTAGTCTGAAGAAATCCGGGCCTAAATGGTAGGAGATGACACGCGTTAGACCTGTCAGGGTCATCGTTACCTTCCCTGTTCCGTTGTGGAACAAGGAAGACCCGTCACGGTCTTCCAACAGCCAGGTCTTAGGGTCGAACAATTCGGCATCGGAATTTTCCGCTCCATGCCTTCAGCATGTTTGAATGCTTTACCTTTTTTCTTTGACTTCTCGTGTCGCGGAACACGAGAATCCTGGAAATCCCTAATTTAACGAAATTAGGCGACGGCTCTTAAGACTTGGCTGACAATAGGCCTGAGGGCTCCACGTGGTCCGCACACGTTGGAAGCCTCAGGCCCTCGCTAGGGGTAATAAACGACCGATGGGGTCACCAGCGCGCGGGTGGACCCCAGGTACCCCACCTTGGAGGAGAGGGTTTCCTCCACTATCGTTGCTTTTTGGGGGAACCTTCCCTTTCTCCAAGGTCACGGATTCGCGAACCAAGGGAACGCCCTTGGTCAAAAACAGCCAATCATATTTGGCGAGCTCCCGATTTTTCCTAAGGCCGATCTTAGGAAGATCGAGGCGCTCACTTCGGTACGAGCTATGAGAGACACGGGTTCTCTCTAACCCAGTTCCATACGAAACATCAGAGACATCGGTTCTCTTGAACCAGTTCTCTTCAAATCAACAACACGTCACGGTTCTCTTCGAAACGTCGACCGTCGTAGACACGACTCTTTTCTGCTCGTGCAACTTAAACAGTTGCCCAATATTAATTTGGCGGGCAACACGTGTCGTGGTCGCGAGACGGCCTTACAACCCGTCGGAAATACGAGAATTTCGATCGCGTAGTGTTTATTGGTAACAATAATATGAAAATGTGAGAAATACAATAAAGTTAGGAACTATTTCTCGGCTTATTGCAACGCTCTAGTTCTTCTTCTGCTAAAATAAACGCAGTATTACAACATTATAAGTCCATTCGACTTTGACTCTTGACTTTACAACTCAACTCAATGACAACTGTCTTCGACTTCAACTCAATATTAAGTTAGAATGTTATAATGTCCTCTAATCGATCCTGGCTTACTTTATATTTCGTACTTCCCATGCACACGTTTCCCGATGTTTTTCCTGACATGATCAAATATGCTCATGTTAAGGGTCTGACGCGTCACCTAAGGTTTTCCTGGCTGACCTGGGCTTTGCACCTTCGATCCTCGTACTCTCGGCAACCTTCATAAAGTTACGTATACATAGTGGAAAAATGTGTGATACTACACTATTGTAAGAATTATCCTGATTTAATTCCCTGTGAATAAAGGATTTGAGAATCGAGAAGCAATGACAGTTCTTTAGTAACAACAGGTTTATTTAGTCTAAAAGGTAACACAATTTTGTCACTCATGATATTCTCAGGATTCCCTCTGGACTGATTCCTTTACTCTCAGGGTTCTCACTCAGGATCGAGAAATAACGACGTTTATTTAATAACAAATAGGTTTATTTAGTCTAAAAGATAACGCAACTCTGTCACTCACGATACTTTCAGGACTTTCTCTAAACTGACGCCCTTACTCTCAGGACTCTGAGTCAGAATCGAGATGCAATGACAGTTCTTTACTAACAATGACAGTTTTATTTAGTTTAAGAAATAACATAACTCTCTCACTCACGATAATCTTAGGACTCTGACTCAGGATCGAGATGCAATGACACTTGTTTGATAAGAATAATAGGTTTACTTAGTCTAAAAGATAGCACGATTTACTCACTCATGATACTCTCAGCACTCTCTCCCTCTCTCTAGGCTGACTCCCTTGCTCTTAGGACTCTCACTTGAAAACTACCCATCGATAACAGCCTTCACGCGCACTTCTCTCGCACCCTATATACCCTCATGCATTAATTCCCATTCATTTTAATGCTTAACCATCTAAATTTTCTCTATCATAAACAGTCCTTCCACTCGATTCTCTTGCACACGTGTGATAAGGGTGACACGAAGAAATACAAGCCAAAAACTCAAAAGCGTCCTGTCTCGAAAAAGGTTTATTTCAAACTTAGATCAATGTGCATTCTTTGTATTGCAATAGAAATTTATTAATTAACGCGATTGTTATGTCATTGGGTCAGTCTTGTCAGTGACAGACCAGTTCAAAGGGACATTGTGTGCTTCTTGAACTGCATAATGGATCGTATTTTTTAATCCTACGAATGATAGACAATGCCTGGATGTTGAGGGAGAGTTGTAGTGTTCGAAAGTTGACTTCTTTCTGTGTGTGTTCTGCTAAAGTTGACTTGTCACTCCGTGTTGTCTGTCTTGTGTCTCCTACGAGTGTAATTATACCGACGAAACGGTGCTTCACGGTTTAACTGCGATATTAAATATTCGTAGATAATTTTTCCGTCGAAAGGATTGAATTTGGGACGTATGTTAATTGAATATTTTCCCTGCTGTCAGCGAATACTATGATCCTCAAAGGCCTGAAGCCTTTGTTTAAACATCCTGTATATACTATATTGTGCCAGCAGGATGGTTATTTGCGCAGAATAATGATTGCAAACGCGAAACAAAGGGCACTATAGTAAGACGATCCGGTTGCTCTTAGCTAACTAGCTCAGTCACTGGATTTTAATCCGATCGAACAATTATGCAGTGAGATTGGATTAAGACTGAGAGTGGAAAGATTGAACAGATACAGCGATCTTCGTGTAGCTGTGAGTGAAGAATGATGGAGTCATTAAAAAAGTTATTAGAATCGCATATTAATTTTTATTATATATCAATCAATTTTATGAATATATATATATTATAATATTATATTTTATGTTATTATATTTTTCTTATTTTAGGAATATGTAATTAATTTTTCTTATTTTAGTTTCCCTTATTATAACTGCACATGGATAGCGTTTAGTATAAATTTTTAAACGATTTAAGTTATGTCGTGATAATTGTTACGTTTTCCAGAGTTTTCGGATCATTTTGTTCAGTTTTCTAGAAAGCGAAATAGTAAAATTAAAGAAATCTGTACATTTACAGCGATTAATTAATACTTGAAATATGTATTTATTAACGAATTGTGATATATTATGCAATAATTTCGGTAGCTTTTTGACGTGCTCGACTGTTTAATGCATTGAAAATTGCAATTGAGGTTTACAGAATGTTTGGAGTTTAAATTTCTCAAATGAGTGGTTTCAATTTCGAATTTATCGGAGCATTATTAATAATAATTTGTATTATTATTATTGAGAGAGCAGTATTTTTCAACCTTTAAATAGCATTAAATTAATAAATTATCGTGAAAGAAAAACCATTGAAATTAAATTTAAAAAATAAATAACGAAATTGGGGTATTTATTACTAATCAAAATTCAGCTGAATCGCTCTCAATAGAAGTATACAAATGATAAGTGTTATTTTTTACATATAGAAGTTATTATTAAATATTTATAATTTTATTCATTTATTATATAATAAATGCAGTGACTGTATTATGAACGATTCGATTAAAGTATTAACATTATCATTAAAAATATATATCACATATTTCCTTATAACACAGAAAGGTTGAGAAACATTGTTATGTGTATTTACCTTCCATTTTCGAAATTCATTTATTGTACTTAAATTATTCATTATACCCTTAAATACCATTCCATTTGTTTAATTGTTCCAGTTTTTATTTATCAGTTTTATTTAATATTTTTATTATAGATTTCCGGTAAATATTATATATTTAAAATTAGATTGGATCAAGTGTTTCATTTATCTTTCAAATTGAAATGATTTAAATTTTTTGCTTGCTTTTAGCAATAAGTAACGTATCATAAATTCACGAGTCCTAGATTCCAGGCTAGAGGCCCAAAATATGAGATTGCGGGTTGGTTCCCAAATCAAGGTCGTGAGCAACGTCTCCGCATCGAACAATTTGCATGAATAATACAGTGGGTTTGCGCAGAGCGGGTACAAAATTCAGAAACCAGAACGAAAAATGTTCACTACTGTTCCTTTGCTTCCTCCTCTACTGGTGACCTTTCAAATACATTTTCAAGAAAGTCAGAGTTCGAAGCTATTTATAGATCAATATTTACGTGGCATATATAAGTACTTACGTGTATATTGAAATCTTTGAAATATCGCAGTTTCAATTTTGCGATCAGGAAATATACGGAGTTTTATCATTTTAAACAAGGCTACTTGTTATACAAATTTAGTAATTTAATTGTAATTTAGCACACATCAGTAACAAAAAATAAAATCAAAAGCAAGAAATTCATAACATAGTGAATTCTATTTATTTTAAAACGAAAAATAAATTAAAATATCGCAAATCTAATTTTGTGGTTAGAATCAAAATTTATGCAATTTACTATAAAACGCATCGAAAAATTTTAGAAGTAATTTAAAATAATTGTTTGTTGTATCTTACGTATTACGAGTTCAAATGCCAAGAAAAAGGTATTCTATTAACCAAAAAATTTTTAATTGCAAGAAAAATATTCGTTATCGTATTTACATAAGATGCAGAACGTAGATGGCGTCCTGGAGTTCTGTCCACAAATTAAAGTGACTCCTACAGACAGTAATTATACTAAAATATTACGTAATAAATAGTTTACAAATACTTTATCATGTACTTATAACGAAAGTACAAAATTGAATACGTAGATGTCGCCCTGGAGTTAATTCATTTTAAACAGCTATTTTTGTCGTGTATAAAATTATGGAAAATTGTATTATTGTATCCTTTGCTTAGTAAAACGTTTATAAATTTGCTGTTGCATGATTTTTCAGTCATTTCTGCACAAAAGAATTCATTGACGAGATTTGTACGAAAAATTCCAGGACATACTGTATATCAACTTCAAAAGAGAGTGCTCATGCGTTCATACAAGAAGTAATAAACTGAAAATCATACTGAAAAAGAATTTGAAAGTTGAGTAGGAGGTTCTAGTGCATTCTGCATACCCCGCGGTTCTTTCATCAACGAACTATGACTTCTTTTCGTCGGTACAATATTACTTAACCAAGAAGAGGTTAAAAAAGCAAGAGTACATAGAAACAACAGTCACATATAATCTTTTTCATAAAAATTGAAAAAAAACTGTAATTATTTGCAAATAACAAAAGCCATTCATACTTTCAAGAAACTTAATAAAACGTGCTAATATTTTCACAAAAGTATTTTGCAGTGCAAATAGAAATAAATAAAAATATTTTAAGGAGGTGGTTAAACTGAAATAATTTTGCTAAAATTTTATTAAACTGAGAAATATAGTATGTACGTTAAAAAGTGTAATAAATGTTTATGTATAATTTTGAGCGATTTAATTTTTGATCCTCAAATAAGGACATCTATCTTGAAAACAAGTACTTAAACGACTGGAAAATAGCATTCTTGTCAAAAACATGGCATGCAATACGTGTGTAGTTAAATGTACACGTGTAAAAGTGAACCAGCTCGTTAAACTGCAAGAATTCGCGCGGGTAGTGCTCGTAAAATGGCGGAACGCGCCATTTTATAGATAGCAGAGTCGTACCTTTATGAGATCTATCGTTCGTCAAATCGTCGTCTCCTTCTTCCATCGTGAATTTCTCGGCACTCCACGCCATCGACGTGACACCAGCTGCCAATTGTACCTCTGATACCATGGCCCCATGCACGTCCATTACTATTAATTGTCCAGCTGTTGTTCCGAAATATACCTGTAGATGCCAGCACCAGTATCGTACGCATTAAGAGAAACACAATCATACCAATTACTATATTTACTAAACAGAATAGCTTCAAAGCTATTTAAAAATGGAATAAACTCAAAATGAATTCATTTTTAAATAATTCGAATCAATTTTAAATTTTTAGATAAGTTTAAGATAATTTTTAAGTACTTTTATACTATCTCTAGACACTTCTTATATAAACTTAGGATAATTTAAAACAAATTTTAAATTGCTTAATGTACAATTAATTAATTTTGAATTAACATACCCTAAATTAGTTACTGACTTACTTAATTACTTATTAATTACGTACTTTATTAATTATTTATTAATTACTTGCTTTAATTAATTACTTTTATTACTTTCGAGTAGTTTACTTCAATTTTTTCGAAAAATAAAAGATAAGGAATTAAAAAGATTTTAATTCAGAAATTATTCTAATTCTAACAGTGAAATTAATAGCGTAAAAATTAGTTTTCATGTTGTATCCACGATAATATACATATATTAATCATTACCTCGTTTATTTCTTTATAATACACTTTGTATTGTTTTTACAATGGCGAGTTTTTATGGCGATAAACGTTTCTGGGCTTAATTGTCGATGGCGACACGGCGAACTTTTATCGACGTTAAGAAAGTTTTTACCCCGTAATGGAACCCCGACGACTATGATGGAGTGTAACACTACTCCATAATAACGCGAGTGCTTCGAGATTCTAAACAGACATTGTTGTATTGTGTTTCACGTGTGATATACGATGTAAGTATTTAAAGACGTGATAAACGAAGGTTATGTAGGGTAATATACATATAGCGTTCATAACAAGGGAGTATTTTATTATTCGTTAAATTAATTGCCAGATATTAAGATGGCGCCTGTGAGCGAAATACAGGTTAGCTTTTATTTTCTCGAAACGTATGTTAAATTTAATACGTTTTTAAACTATTCTTGGAAGGTTAGGTTAGGTATTAAAAATAACAAAATATAGAGATATTTTCCAAGTGGAAAATATTTCCTCTGTTTCATACATACATTAACAATTAACTTTAGTCAGACTTTAGTTAATTGTGATATACGATTATAATATAGGCTTTTAATTAAACATAATAAATAGTAAATTGAGCTAAGTATATCAATTTATTTATTTATTTTATATATTTACGAAACATTTATTTATTTATTTTATATATTTACGAAACATTTATTTATTTATTTATTTATTATATTCATAATTATAAATTATGCTGAATATATATCATGATGAAGTGTTTGTTAGATGTATTAAATATGTTGCAAATATTAAAGTATTCAGCGAAATATCAATCGAGAATGTATTTTAAGAAAAGGAGAAGAAAATGGAAAATGTATAAAATTAAAAAAATAAAATTGTTATTTGTAAATTAGTATACTGATTGTAGAATTTTAATATTCTAATATGGAAAAATGATTATGTATAATGGTAGTTGCTGCCTACATATTATAGAGTTTGAATAGATGTTTTACATATTACATTGAAAATTGAGGAAATATTTGTCATAATAACAAGATAAGATATTCTCCCTAGATTATTTTTGCATGCTTGTTTTCTCAAATAACTTTGTATTTTAGATCTTGTTTCAGAGATAGTTGTCACGCTACGTAATAGAGGACACAATATTTCGCTGAAAATGGAGGAAATAAATGAAATAATCATTTTTATTACTTAATTCTATTACCAAATGCTATTTTTATGTTAATACCTTGTTCACACGTTTTGGAATTCTGGTGATGTTTTATATTTAACACGAATGTATATTTTTGGAACTATTCTAAATTTTCGATTTAAACTAATAGAACCAATTCTTCTTAACATTAATAAAATACTTTTTAAAATATTTATTTATCGAATTTTGAGATTTCTGAATTGCAAATATATCAGATAATAAATAATAATAAATTTATCGAAATTTATTCCCACACGTATTAATAACTTTTTGTCGAAATAATATCGCGTGTAATAATATAACAGTATATAATTTAATTATACTTATAATAAATATATAATTAAAATTATATCTAACCTATTATCAGTACTTTGGATATAATTTATATTTTCAGAGATCATTTCCTTTCTTTACGTAATTATATTCATATCAAAAATTTATTATGTCAAACTTGCATTTGCTAAAATTAAAATCGTCCTGACTAAAATTAGTTCCATTCCATAAATTATTAATTCCATGTCTAGAGAAGTTTCTGAATAACCCAGTTGACAGATTGGGATCAAACTATATAAATATACTGTTTCAATTGATTACGTATTCTGTCAGTGATATAAATAGCAAAGATTCTGTTTGTTAATTAATTTCATATATAATCATATACATTTTGATCTCCCTGTATGACGATGCTTTATACTTAAAAAGAAATATATTTAATCTAATTTAATTTGATAAAGTTCAATTAAACATGTAATAAAAGTAAATAAAGATATATAAGATATAATTGAATGTATGATTGTGATATTATAATTATTAAATAATTATTATGTAAAAAATATAATTTGATAACAATGTTGAATATGAATTACCTGTTGGTCATCCGGTGTCCAAATACCACACGTGATCGTAGCTTTGTCATTCAGCATCGATGACCAATACCTCTGGCCACCAACGCTGCCAACCAGCACGAAACCATCCTATAAGAAAAA